TTTTTGCAACAAATGGAACTAGAGTAGGAACTAGTATCTGATACTTCTCTGGGGTATTTCTTCGTACACTGCTTGCAGGATAATATGAATGAGCCAGTGAGTTGTTTTACACCTCTGTAATCATAGGGATTTACAAGTGTTTCATTAGGACTGTTGGTAATTGTGATACCACAGAACAATGTGCTCTGAGGTGTTGTTGGGCACTCATAATTGCCTAGGAAATATTGAGGACGTTCAAAAGGATTTTGTCATATTAGCCAGAATGGGGTTTTATGTAGGTTATTTCACATGGTCTTGCTGGTGTGAGGTTATTCAGTGTAAATCATGGAGTTAACCTCATTTTCATTTCAGTTCAGCAACTGGGATTCAAATAATAGTTTCATCTTAGTATTTTTTCACCTGGTAAAGTACATGACTTCTATTGAAATAACAAATTGTAATATCCTCATCCTGATGGCATGCCCTGTTCTCCAACAGTCTACGCTTTAAGAAGGGAAAACATCCTAAATGCTCAAGTTCAGCCATTCACTTAACATGGGCATAATTTTAAACCAAAAAGTAATCTATTTAGATAAATCTGTTACTGAATCAAAAATGCGACATTTGTTTTGTATCCCCTTTCTGCATGCTCAAGTACTTTTTAATTTTTTCCAGTGAAAAATTAAGACGGTTGAACTTCTTTTTTTCTTTTAGGTAGGTTACTCCTACTTCCAAATACTGCAGCATCACTAATAGAATAATTAACATAGTAGCTAAAGACAATTTACATGGAAATAACATAAAAACTTTGATAAGGTGATAAATCTTAAACATTTGTAGAAAACATTACTTTTTCAGATATCAAATCAATAGGAAATATTTTGCTATTCTGAATCCTAAAGGAATCAAAATGTTTTCTTTTTGCTGATTTTGGTCACTGCCATTTCTTAGATAATCCTGTGTGTGCTTATAGATTGTTCAGGAGTGTGAAAAGACCTTTTCAAAGTAGTGAATGAAAGAAAATATCTATCATTTCAATCCTGACTATTTTTTGTATTTGCTGTTTCCTTCCTCTGATGAGGCAATATAGGATTTTATTATGCTGTGACTGATTCAAGGAATGTAGATGAAATAAGTTTGTCCTCTTTTTGCATACTCTTATAGTATCATATTTTATAAATCATACTGGCAATACAACTATGTTTCACACACCCACAAGCTTGTTTGTAGTGATAGACCTGGTATAATGCTGCTGTACCCATCCCGTAGAACTTATTCAGAATCTTTTTGGTCCTGAAGTCTGTGGCAATTTTCTTGGAACAAGTCCTACAGAATGTATTTTTGGGTCAAAGGAAATTAAAATATTTGCCTAGGGGCTGTTTGCCTTTGTAGCTCTTGAAGCTCCAGTTTGCAGCTCGGGGAATGTAACTGAAACAACGGCCTCTAAGCGAGAGATCACACCATAAACAGAATGTATATAGAAAAACATGTTGACTATCGGGTATCAAGTTTAGAGTCCCATTAAAATAATTAATATCTGAAATAATGTTTTGGTTAGTAACTGAAAAATTCCATTAAGTATTAGCAAGATAGTAATTTCTAGGTAACTTGTTTTTTTAGTGGTTTTTTTTTAACAGTACATATTGAAGATAACAGCCAAGATTTTCAAAGCTAGCCACCAAATTGGAAAAGCGCAACTCATTTTAGATTGCTTTGCAAACGAGGATGTGATTCTCACATGAGTTGCTCTTTTTATAATAGGCTTTTCCATAGCGTGGATGAAAAGTTCCAACACAACATTTTGGTCATCATTTTACCTTTTCTTGCTAAAGGAATATCTGACTGGTATATGGCAATAAAGAATCAAGTCTACCTTGGAGTTTACACTTCTCTGTACAAGTACTCTGCAAGAAGAAGAATTGGAGACGAAAATGCTTTTGTAATACCAGGGACCAGATGAGTGGGTCTCATAGTTTAGGCCTTCCAATGTTAATGATGATTGCAGCATGGTGTAACACACTTTTATTGGAAAACATTCAGCAAGAAGGAACCGGAGAAGAAAGTAGCATAAACAAGGACAGATTGGAAAATACATCTCTAGGCTGATTCTAGACATTGCTTCTTTCTAATCTATTGATTAAGAATTTTTAGGTGTTTTCATTTTACTGTGGAGGTGTCTTATGTATAGTATTAAGTATTGAAGAAGAAATTAGAATAGTCCAAGAAACAGAATTCTTTTGGATAGCAATATTGTTGGTGACTTTTTTTTGTTGCTTGAGTCACATGAGAATCTATTGCAATATGAATCCACATGTAAGAAATACATAAATAAGTTGAAATTGGATATGAAAATGAGGTTCAGATATGTCACACATCTTGTACAATCATTCACCCACCCAGTTCACCAAGCCATTTCCTCCTACACGGGGAAATCATATGAAATGGCTTTTCTGATTAGATATATTGAAAAGACATTTTTTGCATGTTTTTCATGAGGCAATGGGTCACTTAGATGTATGTGATTTCTGGAATAAGATGAGAATAATTTCAGTTGTTCATGTCTGCTTTGGATTTATGAAAGCTGAGAATGGGAAATGTATTTTAAAATCTTGAAAATTCTGATGGCATAAAAGAAGCAGCTCCTACTTCTAGAAATAATTTTTTTTTATGACTGTAATATAAGCAGACAAGGTTGGAGTAATTTTCCTTTTAATGAAACACAAATAAACTATCAACATGGCTGCAGAGAAGAGGACATCACTTCTGTCATTCCATGCATATCCTTATAAGCTTGAATACCGGCTTGCAATAAACGTGTATGTAATGGAGGACAACATGTCAATTTTAATGCAAAGAAAAATTATGTGATTTTTAAGATCTTCCTTTTTCATGTGGTTATTTAATTTACAATTTGTTTTCTCCCTATTTGAATATCTTTATGATAATGGTGCAAAGTTGTTTGTTTCTTGTTGACTGTCATCTTTAGAATAACCTGTTTGACAAACTAAGCTTTTAAAGAATTGGTAACTAGAGCATTACAAACCAGGCATAGTGTTAAAAAGGAATCACAGAAGTCATTTTCAAAATTAGGTTTACAGCTTCTAAGTTTTACACTTTTGTTGCTGTATGGAGTTTTGTGTTGTGTGGAACTGACTCCTCAGGTAAGAATCATTATGAATTTACATTTATATTGAGATTTCCATCATAAATAAACTATCCTGGAGCAGTAAAGGAGATAAAATAATTGGGGGAATTGGGGGGGGGGGGGGGGGGGGCGGGGCGGAGAGGAATGGTTTTGAAAAGGTACCAACAAATAGATGATTTAAGATCCAAATATATTAGATAACTGTGAGAGTCCTAAAATGTGAAATTCAGATAGGGCAGATATGGGGGTTCTGCTTCGTTTCAAAGGTTAATTCAAAGTTTAGTGTAAAGCAGCTGCAGAGAGTGAGAATACAGAGTGAAAGGAACTTTTTATAAGAGGTAAGTTATTTCTTTCCCCAAGGTTTTACTTCAATACGTTTTTATGGTTCCTGGGCTTTGCAAAATTGAATTGCATTTTTCTTATTCTTTTCATGTCTGAATAAATTCAAGGTAAGATAACCTTTATGTAAATGGCAGTTATATTGTGTTAAGAGCTGCAAACCGTTTCTTCAGAGCAGAATCTGTACTCAGGATTCACAAGAGCCTGAAGGAGGATGGTGGGACTCTTGGGATGCTTATTTAAAACAGATACAAGGACTATTTTTGTGAATTGCTGCCAAGGCATTGCAGTCAGCTGATGCAGGGGGAGAGCCTGAAGATGAAGCCTGCCATAATTAGTGTATTTTTCATTTAAAACATTACAAAGGAGGAGGAAATATTCTTGCATGTATTTCCCTCTGGTGGGTTAATCTTGGCTAAGGGCCAGCCCCGCATCCAGCCACTCGCTCATTCACTACCCTCAGCAGAACGAAGGGAGAAAATAGGATGAAAAAGCTTGTGGGTGGAGATAAAGGCAGGGAAATTGCTTACCCTTTACTGTTGTGGGCAAAACAGACTTGACTTGGGGAAAATTGTTTTAATTTACTGACAATTAAAATGGATTTAGGTAATGAGAAACAATAAGACAAACGTTAAAACCACACCTTTCCCAGGCCCAACCTCACTCCTTCACTCCGGACTCCTCTGCCCACCCTCTGAGTGGCACAGAGGGGATGGGGTCTGGGGGCTTGTGGCCAGTCCCTAATGGCTCCTTTCTGCCCCTTCTTCCTCACACTTTTCATTTGCTCCTGCGTGGGCTTTACCCATGGGCTGCAGTCCTTCAGGAAAAAAAACCTGCTCCATTGTGGGTTCTCCACAGGCCACATTCCCTCCAGGACATACCCACCTGCTCTGGTGTGGGTCCTCCACAGGCCGCAGTGGATATCAGCTCTGGCACCATCCTCACCGTGGGCTGCGGGGGAGCAGCTGCTCCGGAATGTGGAGCACCTGCTCTTCTGCCTACGTGGCATTTTTTGCTCTTCCTTAACTAGGTTTTCTCCAAGGTGCCACCGTTTTAGGTGAGGGGCTCAGCTGTGTCCTGCTGTGCATTTTTTGGAGCTGGATAGAACCACCTGTGCCTGGCACAGGGCAGCCCTGGCCTCTCCTCACCAAGGCCACCCCTGCAGCCCCCTCACTGCCAACACCTTGACATGGACACCCAGTACATTCCTTTTCAAATAAAATCTTTTTTTTAATGTAGTGAAGGAACCTTACAGTTTCATATACATATGATACCACCAAAGCCCCACTCTTGTTAAAACAAGTCCTACAAAAATACATTAGCTAGGATTCAGTTGAGTATTTCTTAGAGGCTAGTTTTGGTTACTAGGCAATCTGGGATGATATGATTGAACCATGCATGTTGGCTTTTCAGCAAATCTACCCTTTTAATTAGGACAATGTTGTGAGAAGTGTATGTAGTCAGAGATAACACTCTTCTATGTCTTATCTGTGGAATATGATTGCCAGTGTTTTCTTTCCATTTTCCCCCAATTTAGATTGCAAGGAGATAATTTGGCAGAAAGGCCAGAAGATGTCTCCATGGTATCTCAAACATCTGAGCCAGCAGTGTCAGACTCTGATGGTAAGTTCTATAAATATTTGCTGCTTATAAAAAAACCCCAAACATCAACATCTTGGATTTAAAAGTAGAGATTACGTCTGTAAAAGAAGAATAAACACTTCTAGAGAACGTTCCTGAGCATTTGAACTCAATCATTTGCACTTAAAATCTGTTAAAATAGCCCCTAACATGTTTTTTGTCATGGCCAAGTAGCACTCCAGAATAATTTCTAGGCATATTTTAGGAGCTGCCTTGGGACAGGATTCATTCTTAGTAGACAGTTTGTATGTTAACACATTATTTTGGATGTAACATAGCTTATTAGCATAGACATGGGCTGTTCATTGCCAGTTGGCCTCTATGTCAAAAAGTGGTCGTTGAAATATTTAATTTAATACTACAAATGCATCCACAGGATTCAAATAATATACAGTAAAAATAAAAAGAGTTATAGAAGAATTTCTCCCGTGTTTTTAAACTAAGTACGAGAAATGCTTCTCTGATCTCTCCAAGCACCACTGACTGGAATTAAAATACACTAAAAAGGAGTTTATACAATGGCTCTGAAGAGCATTTTTTTCTACTTATAGAAACACGATCATCCATTGCACCAATCTGCAGTCAGGACACTCAACCGTATTTCAATTTCTGCTCAGGTTTTGAAACAGAATAACACCTGAAATCTAATGGAAAAGGCACTTCCTGAGGGATATCTTGCCAGAGAATGCCCTGCTTTCCTATGAAAGATAAAGTTGATGAAGGTTAACTTTATCTTAGCTGTCTGTGGAATGGAGACAGAAAGAAATAGAGGTTTGGACAGAGAATCTGCAAAGATAAATCTTTCAGTCCATTCCCTTACTGTTGTGCAGAACCAGCTGTGTCTATTAATTGGAGGATTTGATCTGCAGTTTAGTCTTCAGCAGCCACAGACAAGTTGGCTATGTTGATTAATTAATGCAAAACAAATCAGAACTAACTTTTATTGGTTTTAATTATCCCACCAACTGTCTGATATTTAGTGCTAGTAGGTGTGCTGTTAGGTATGACAGCAATCTGAGGTTTCACTCATTTCTCTTGCCTCATTTGTAAACTAATGTATGTCAGCATTAGTAACTAATGTGTCTTTAAAGATAATTTTTTTCAAACTGGTTTTGTGAGAATGCATGGCTTCATGCGGTCATGCCATTTGTTTTTTCTTTCATCTGCCATTGATCACTTTATAAAAAAATTAATAGGGGACTCAGAATTAGAAATTTTGATGTACTTACAAGCTTGGTGAAGATTGTCAGCAAGAGGGACCCAGACTGGTGACTGCACTCAAGCCCTGTGAAAGGAAGGCAAAATTCTTCTGTTATAAGAGTAATCCCCAGGAGGGAAGGTGGTGGTGGCTTGTTTGGGATGGGCAAAGGGATATGCATGCATCAGATTATTGCAGCAGAAGAAAATGGAAGAGTAAGAAATACATATAGGAAAAAGCTGTATAGTTCCTGAAACAATTTGTTTTGAACAGATCTCTGCCTTCCTTTTTCCTTCCTGTATACCCTTGTTCTTGAAGTAGAAATATACCACACCATCTTCTGAAACTGTAGACTTCAAAAGATAGTAAGCTTTTGCTAAGTGGCAGAGGCACCAGGATTAAAGAAGGTGACACTGTCAGAAGGTGCTGGATGCTGTATAATAATGAACCTGGATCTTTCATGGTCACAGTGTATGGAGCACGAGTGCTATAGCCATTGTTAACTGGAGCACTTTATACACTTCCAGCTACTCTGTAGTTGATATAGATATAAATAAGGTGGAGAATGCTTTCCCTAAAAAAACATGTCAAATAAAAATCTAGAGAGTAAAAGTTAGATATGTAGGTGGGAGAATGACATTCATGTTGTTCTAAACACGTCTATCTCATGTCTGTGAATATACATGAACCCGTTAGTCATATAGCTAGAAAATAGCAAAGCCCCTAGGGCAAAAGGACTGAGGTCAACAGTGAGATACTGCCAAATTTCTGTCAAGAGGCATGCTCAAAAATGTTCTGCTTTTCAAAAATATTTTTTTTTTCCCTGACATGTTGGCTAGTAATATATTTTGATTTGAAAAAAAGCACACCTGGATTTTACACATAGGCATGGACTAGAAACAGGCACAGAGCTCAGGCAACTGCCCATTCTATCAGTCTTTCCTACAAAGGCAGCACATTACTTGTCTTCTGTGCGTCTGATATTTATTTCCAATAAATATTATGTGTGAGAAGAAGATGATAAAAGAGACTCCTAAAGTTATGTTAGAAAACCCTAGGTAACCAAGGCATCATGTTGCACTGAATTTTTAGTTACGTCCTCTTAAGAAAGTATTTTCTAATGAAAAAGTGACTAACAGGCTTCACTTACCAGGTTTATTTGAATTTATTTTCTGCTCTTACTTATCAATAACAGTGACCTTACTAAGAGAAAACTATGTATTGGGAAATGCTGATGTAAACCTTTTGTTCAGGAATATGCAATCAAGGTGCTGGTGCACAGCGAAGTCGAGGGTAGCTTCCTTTAGATAATGATCTTTTTCTAGGTTAGTGGGAAATTGTTGTTAGATCTGAAGCATCTCTTATGGATTTCAGATGAACTGGGTTTAGAAGTAATTGGCAGCACATCTGATCTAACAGCCTTTATAAATAAGCCTTACTAAAGCAATTTTACCTAATAAAGTCAATGTGATAGCTTATATAGAAAGATCATCTGCAGCATCAGGTACTATACTGACTCCATCTGGATCTGGTTCTAATGAACCATTACACTGATTTCCCTCTAGTATATTCCTGCTGAATTGGACAGAGTTGTATTTGATCTAAGTAGTAAAAATGAGATGGGAATCTGGTCTGAAGATGGGAGAACACAAGACATTTTAATGCTGCAGTTTCTTTTTATTAGCCTAAACTATACCTCTTGAAACTGTTTCTCTTTCCCATTGGACCACTTCACAGGAAGGAACTAAGGGAAGAATTTGATAGCTAGGTTCTTCATTTTGGTTAGAAGCAGGAGCTTCAGTGACTGTACAGCAAACCCCCTGTAGAATCCGAGCCTGTCAGGTTTGTCTCTTGGATCAGTCTTCCGTTAAGCCTTGCTCTTGTTCTGTACAGGCATATGGGGAGAATGGCTGGGGCTTCAAAAGACAGACACTACAACAGGATTGTTCCAGTAAAAAATCTGCACCTGTCAACCAGTCTTTTTTTTTAGGTTGGGGGCATTGTAGAGGTCATCCACTACTGTGTTGGGCTTTTTTAATTTGGATTTTAAAAATAGTATCACTGGAGAATAATTGTTCATTTAATCCCAGTTTCCTATAAGTACCATAGGACCTTGTTTCACTTGTTTCAGTCTCCTTTGCTGAAAAGTACCTTACCCTTTGAGTGAAAACCATGATATAAAGCAGGAAAAGAAGGCAGTATCGAAAATAAGATCTTTGCAGTCAGTACATTCTTTTAGAAGGAACCTTAAAGTACAATAAATTATTAGGAAGTAAACTTAATATTGGATCAATGTAAAGCATAGCACTTAAAAACCTCTAAACCACTCCTCAATTTGCCTGAGAAAAGATGTTTGTAAAGTGAGTTACGTTGCAATGTAATATACAACTCCACATATTTCTGAGGTGCGGGCAGAGACTTGTTTCTTTTGTGGCTCTACCTGGAATAATATAATTGGACTGAAAATGATAGCTTATATGGTACTATGCCATAGTGTGTACATGTGGCATTTCCTGTTCTATTGTGTTATTAGATCTACAGATTATGCTGTGATACATAATATTTAGTTTGCCAAATAAATTTTACTAAGCAAATTTCACATCAGTAGTTCATTCCCTACCAAACAAGAGTCGCTGGTTTTTATTATTTGCAGTTAGCCAGCTCCTGTTTTGATCCAGTAGAAGCTAGAAAGTTTCTACTTTAAGAAACTTAAAAAGGCTAGGATGTGTAGCTTCTATTTTTTTTTTTTTTTTTTTCCCCCCTTCAAAGTGGCAGTATAGTAGAAAGTTCAAAACAGGCATTTGGATGTAGAGGAAAGGTTTGAAACTGGGGATGTTCAATAGAAATAGGAATATGAAACGTATATAATGCTATTCCAGGTGGAACTGCATGACCAGGGTAAAAGTATTAAAAAGGGTTCAATCGTGGAAATTAGGGTAGAGAACTAGATATGGCAGTGACAAAAATGTGGCATCATCTCCCAAATCCAGTACAGTTCTCTGATCACAACTTTTGTCCTGGTTTGGGCTGGAATAGAATTAACATTCCTTTTTGCTAACTAGAATAGTGCTGTGTTTTAGATTCAGCATTGGGTTTGGCATGAGAAGAATGCTGATAGCACCAGACCCAAACTGGCCAATTAAATATTCCATATCATGGAACGTCATGCTCACTGTATAGAGGAGGGGTGGTCGTGAAGGGGCTCTCTCTCTCTCTCTCTCTCTCTCTCGCGGTCCCAGGATTGCAATTGTGGGATCTTGGTATTTCAGGATCGCTAGCTGGGAACGGGCTGGGTATTGGTTAGCGGGCGGTGAGCAATTGCATTGTGCATTGCCCATTTATATTTTCTATTGCTGTCATTGTTTTCATTTTATTACCATTGTTAAACTGTTTCTGTCTCAACCTGCAAGTCTCCCTTTACCCCTCCAATTCCCTCCCCTGTTCCCAGGTGGGGGAGGAGGGTGGGTGAGCGGCTGCGGGGTGGTTGGCTGCCAACCAGGCTCAAACCACGACAACTTTACATCATCATCACCTCTTCTTCTTCTTCCACTTTCATTTGTCTTTGCAAAGAATGGGGTAATCACAGTTGCTATACTTCAGTATAGTTCCGTCTTTGTGGTAAGTATAGTATGAGATGTTCAACAAATCAGGGCACTCTGGAAACATAAGGACTTCCCTGCTAAATGCCTGACTAACAGGAGAACCTAGGGAAGATCAGGACATCTTGTTTTCTTAGGCTGCTTATGAAGAGCATCTAAGTGCTGAGCAGGCTGTCAGGCAAAGAGTGACACTGCATAGCATGTTACTTGGAGATTGCTTTCTCTGACAAAGGCACATAAATTCAGTTTTAAGTCATTACGTAATGTGTCAAAGAGGCATTCTAGACTTCTCACCAAGTCATGTTGTTTTACAAATGTGGCAGTATGGGCAAAAATTATAGCTTCCATGGATTTTAAACATTGCCTAAAGTGACCAGAACTGCTTACTTCAGGATTTCAACTATATTCTAATTAGATTAACAGAATTAATTAAATTTAATTTTATTGATTTTATTAAACCTGAAGATTCACTACTCACTTGTGTAAAGGACAAACAGTATTTAGTTTTAATAGTAAAAATGATAAATAACCTGCGAGACACCTTGGCAGATGAAGGAAGCTTGCTTATCACTCTAATCATGTCAGAGACACTGTTCCACATTGCATTACGCTTATAAATTAGAATCAGACGTAAAATCAGACATAAATTAAAATCCATTGAAGTGTAACTGAAAAGCAGTGCATTTACAGTAGCCACATTTACCTTCCCAGCAGTTAATTTATAGGCATTTTATTTTCAAAGTGACTAATGTTTATTTAATTAGCGTGATTTACTTCTCTTCTACCTCTTTGGAACAGCTCAGGTACCAGGGGTTGAAACACTTACAGAAGATATTGATGAATTTCAGAGTGCCTCTCAAGTGGCAGGATCTGTAAGTATCTTCCCTTATGGATAATCCTGTAATTTAAAAACATATTTTGCTAAAAATTAGATTTTGCATAAAGATAAAAGTTGCGCTTGACAATGCCATCCTAGACAGAAGAAAAGCTAATTTACCTAGACCTTCTGATCTTTCAGTTCTCTGGCTGTTTTAATTTTTCCATTCTATAAAGGGTGATATTTTGAAATAAATTATTATAATAACATACAAACCCATATGTTGTTAGAGTTATCATATATAGCTCCCATTGAAAGTGCAGTCATTTTTTACCATGTCTGTATGTTCTTCAATGTTAGGCAAATATCCATTTCACCAGATAATATTCAATTTTATAAAATTATTCAAACTCTAAATTTCATTATGAAATATGTCATTATATCTGAACTGAAATTTAGCTTTTTGGTAACTTTTGCTTGAAAACTAATAAACAAGTCATGTCTATTTAAAATGTATGACAAATACATCATTTTTTAAAAGTGAAATATTATGTTTGGTAATCTTTTCATCAGTTCCTTTATTTTGGAATTTAAGATAATCTTTGCAGTTTTGAAGTTTGCAGAAAATATAACAAGCAATAAAATCATTCTTGAAAAAATACATAATTAGAATTCTGGCACTAATTGTATTGCATCAGAAATTTGAATATCTTTAAAGAAGGGATTGCTTTTTTCCTAAGGCAAATAATTTGACAATAGTTGTTTGGTTTTGCAAAATTTTAGATATCTATAGGAGAACACATTGGTTCTTCTTCAACCATAGAAATACTGGTTTATAGCACACTTTGGTGTTGATAAAGTAAATGTAAAAAAGGACTCAGTATTTGTTAGCTAAGGAAAAGAGGCAGTATTAAAGAAAAAAGAGAAATGACAATGCAGGCTGATCCTGCAGTCTTTCAGGCAGCCGACTAAGTACTACTAATAAAGCTAAATAATACTAACCATACAATATTTCCAACCAGAATTATCAAAGCAGTTGGCAGATATGGAGTTTCAGTTCAATTCCTAAAGCTCTTTCAGAACTTGGAGCATTAGAACCTCACAGAGCATTTGCAGATGCTAGGCAAAAGGAGTAAGGAGCAGAACTTTAGCTGCCATTGCTTTGAGCTTTTTTCTCAAGCCTCCTTTCTGCTTCACTCCAGTGAACAGAGAGGTATAATAAATTTTGCAACAGATTCTGAACCCACATTTTTCTTATTGATTTGAACCCGCAGCTACCAGCTTTGATTTATCAGTTCTGCAGACATGTAGCATAGGGAAAGAGCAGCAAATGAATTGAATTATACAGAGAAATAAAGATAGACGGAAAACAAAAGATCATTATGTTTATTAGCAAAATCTTGCTACAGAAACGCACAGCTTTCAACTGAGTACTTTTAGGTATATGCTCTGTGTGTGTGTGTGCATGCTTCCAAATGAACAAACAATAGGTACATGTATCATTTAATGCTCTGCTGGTCCTAGACATAGGTTAGTTTGCCTGGAGCAGTAGCCTGCCAGGGGCAGCCAAGTTGCCTGGGCTGAATCCCAGAAAGCCACACTGGCTATTGCTGTTATTGCCAGTGCTGCAAAGGGAAGGCAGAAGAGCGGTTGCAGCTATTGCTCTGCTCACTCAACCTCTCTCTAGGGCGAGGGCAGCAAGCTTCACTTTCCTGAGCTACTGGAAAATTCTTTTGCCTAAGTTACTAAGGAGCCATAAACCAGTAACTGTTAGTTCATCTGCTTTTGGAGTTTTTTGTGTTTTGTATCTTAAAGATCTAGTGTGTAGCTAGCTCACTGTGTACTTTTATCTCTTTAAAATGGCATGTTATTCAGAATAAGATTCAGCTATACAACACTGTATGTTTGTCTGCAACTGTATCTCCCCAAAAAGAAAAGCATGGTGTGACTGTTGTTGTTGCCTTTTAGGGCTCTGAAAGAATAGATATCTGTTCCAATGTCCCCTAATATCTTCCAGTGAGACTTCTTCCTTTACAATCTTGACATAAAATACAGAGGTAAAACTGAAGTTCCTGATAGGAAGGCTGTGAAGATAAATGCATTCTTACAAAGGATTCTCACAAATCCTTCAAAACAGTAAGAAATATGCCTGTAAAATTACTTCAGAATTGATACCAAAATACATTTTTGTGACTTGAAATGATTTTCAGATATTATGAGAGATACTATATGAGATACAAGGTGAGGGAAAAATAGAATAAATATGATGTCTATCAGACATTTCTCATAAATTGAACAAATTGGTTCATGGCATGCACTCAAATGTGCATATTACATGTGAAAATTCCTGATCTGGTTCAAGGTGTGCCATGTTTAATACTGGTACTGCATTACAATAGGGTAATTTGAGTCTGTTGCTAGTTAAATGGATCATTATCATAAATTTCTCTCTACTCTTGTATATTTGACAAATTTTCTTTAAAAGTGCTTCGGCCTTCGGAGAAGTGTTTTGAGAAAAATTGTGGGATGAAGCAGCAAGAATTATGCATAAGGATCTTTAGAAAAGAGCTGTGTGGAGAGTAAAGCAATCTGGATACTAGTACTTAGAAGAAATTAGCAACTTCTATGTCTATAATGTGGTTCATGTAATTTATACTATGTTTACATTATAATTTTCTTGTAATATTGTGTCTATTTACTGTTCTATTGCTGAAGAGTATAGAAGCTTTTGTAATTAGGCCTTTTTCCTTTGAAGCTTTTTTAATATAAACATTTGCTACACTTTATTTTTCACAAACGGAGATGATATTTTAAAAAATGAGAATTTAAATTTTCAGTGCTGCACAATCCCAAAAAAGGCATACTGAATGAATAAAAATGTAAAACTAGTAAAGACCAGTTTGAAGTATTTACAGGAATCAGCACTCTTCCCAAGTGTTTTGCAAGGATTCAAAGTGGAAGCAAATATTCAAAATGTCTTTAGAGATCCTAGTTTACTGCAGAGCTCATTTTCTGACAAATATTTAATGAAACAAAAAGTTCTAGGCAAGATGCAAAGCTCTTACCTAAGATTTTTGCAGTGTGGTGAACTTGAGAGTCCTATTTTACTTTATGTTTCTGTAAATGAGTTTTGTAAATATTTGGCTAGCCAGGTTCTAAGAAAACCCTGGTGGGCTGGAATTCTGACAGAAATGGAAAAGTAATGTATCAGGGGAAGTTGCTAAATTTACAGTGACTAACAGAAAGAAAGAGGGGGCATGCACTGGGCAATTTGCATTAAGTAGCCTTTGCCTTCCCTCTGAGTTGCTTCTTTTACCACCTGGATCTTACAGGACTCATGCTTATTGGGGGTTTTTTAATGTGAATCTTTGCATTCACTCATCTTGCTTTGCATGTACATATAAAAAGGTATATTTTTCTTTTCAAATTATCCATGTAAGGCAAACCAACCCAAGTGTAACAGGAAAGTGGAAAAAAATGTTGTCCAATGGCAAAAGGCATTTCTGCATGAGTTTGCCTTGAGTTTTTGCTCTTTATTACTTTATTACTCCAATGGGTTGTTTTATAAAGGTGTTCTGTTTTAAATAAATTTTCTCCTGTTTTCCCTACTGCTTTGGAACAAGTTAAGCAAGTAGTTTGAATTACATACATTGAACCGCTTCGGTTGAGACCCCCCTCTATGTAAAACAAATTCCATAAAACCGGCATAGCATTTTGTACATATAGCTGCAAAGTAATTATTTATTTTATAAGTCTCTTTTACTTTGGAGAGCACCTGTAGTGCTTAATTTTTTTTTTTCTTCTTACCTGCTGGTATTCTTTTTGCTGATATCTTGTTGCATACTGAGAAATTTGAGCTCCCCTGGGCGTGGGGAGGGCTGCTCCATCTCCCTGACTGGATCTCCAAGGTTAAGGACTGCTTCCAGAAAGCTCTCCACCCCTCACAAGTTTGGTTCATCAGCCTACCCGGCAGGTGTTGCATGCAGCATGTGGTTAGTGATTCCAAGGAGACCTTGGGCAGACATGTAGCGGAGTGAAAATACTCTTATTTGAAAATATTTAATCCTCTAAAATGTAATTGTAAATGGAAAGAATTTTCTGAACTTTTTAAAAAATATGTAAAAAAAAAATAATCAATGAGTGCCTTGTTTTTACCTGTCTAAAATTTGGTTTCTTGGGCATGAAAATTCAAAAATATTAGTCTAAATAGCAGTAAATAAAACAGGACTGAGGCTTAGAAAAAAAATATTCTGGTTACATTTCAGAAACTGAAACAAATGTGATTCCCAGGTGCCCACATATTCCCTCTTGCCTGTAAACAGAAAAAATATGTGTAAGTGAACTCAAACTACCATTTTTTTAGAGTAAGGTTTAGTGTGAAATGTGCTGGCCAACTGCCATGGGAAGCAAAAAGCTTGTAATTTCAATTACATGACATTTCAAGTAGAACAGGCCCTGATGTGGAAGGTGGAGATTAGAAGTGGCTGCCAATATTGCAGCAGAGCTCTGAGAAGGTTTATTATTTTTACAGTACCAAAAAAGCCATGCTGACTAGCTCACCTTATGTCCTTGAACAGACTACGGAAACTGAAAGATTAAACATTTGGTGAACTCTTACAGAAAACGCATGTTGTGTGAGGAATCTTCAAACAAATTATTGCACAAAAAGTTCTGCTGTGTGAATAACAACTGTTCTTGCCAGCTGCTTGGTCAGAACGGAAGGGACACTTGCAAACAAACTGTTCAATAAAGGGGATGTTTTTTGTATTTGGAGGGATCTCTGTCAAATGTGACTGTCTAAGATATTTAAGCTATTCAGCAAAAACATGGTAGGTTATACATAGAAAGCTAAGCATGGTTATCTTTCTTACAGTATTATTTTCTGAAATTACCAATAAAATTTGTACTTGAGTAGCAAAACTATGTAGAAGAAAAAGTTCAATCAAATTGCATTGCATATATTTACAGCTTGCCAGGAACTAATTAATTGGGTTTCACCTCCATTCCTTATTTCACTGTGATCATACAATACAGATAGTCTTTAAAAATGAAGAA